ATCATGTGGAGTCACACTCTTTAATATTATTTATATGTGAAAATATTACTGAAAGTACAGGAATACCCCTTCTAAACTATTGTTAAAATAATAACTAACAAATATATTTCCTAATTTTGAGAGTATAATATTTTTTCCATGAAATATATGATGGTTTCTTCCAAAGATTGCAATATGTGCTTTGCATTTCTGTGATTTAAAACAATTGGGTAAATATTGCTGATACTATTCCCTGATTAATCACAAGAAAAATCATTTGCCTTTTTGGCCCTCCTGGAGTGGGCAAAACTAGCATTGTTCGTTTTATTGCATGTGCTTTGAACCGTAAGTTCTCCTGATTTTCTGTAAGAGGATTGTCTGATGTTACTGAAATCATGGTAGATCATAACTTTTGAAACTAGGAGAAACATTGTTACATGATTAAACATTGTTATTATGCAGATATCATTTTGTATTATTAACTTCCAAAACTACATGTTGGGGCATCGTCGAACCTACATTGGTGTAATGCCAGGAAAGATGATTCAATGCTTGAAAAATGTGGGAACAGCTAACCCTCTTGTGCTGATTGATGAGATTGACAAGGTATGCCAGTCTTAATAACATCGACAACTAAATGGCTTTGTTCTGGTACTCTTTTAGTGTTCAGGATGGGTTTTCTTTGGTTGTAGAGCACAATTGCATGTCTAATATGGACAAAATTGGTTTCCGACCGATTAAAGCTTCCGAATATTTGTGATGATTATTTGTAGTGCATTCTAGAAATGACTTTTTTTGTTGTTTATTTTGTTTTTTGTTTTTCCTTGTGGTAGTTGGGAAGAGGACATGCATGTGATCTGGTAAGTGCTATGTTGGAACTCCTTGATCCAGAGATTAAAGACAAATTGAAGAGATTAAAGAGCAAGGAAGAAGATCAACCATCAAAGCTTGGGAAAATTAAAGAAAGTTAAGGGAAAAGCAAAGATTGAACTAAGGTATGGAATCTATCTTGAATCCTTATGATTAATTCATCAATTTCATGAAGTCATAATGAGATTGGAAGATTTGAAACCCATTTGGGTTAGGGTTTTGTGTTATGTATTTAATTGAGCTAAATTTAAGAAATTAGAACTTGGGTCCTTTGATTTTGTTTATGATTGGAGCTCAATCTGCTGAATAACATATGAAATGAACTTTAGATTATCCATAGAACAAGATTTATGCAAGGATCAAGTGTGTTTGTGAGTTGTGTTTTGGGAACTTTCAAGATTATGAAAGATGAAACATTGATCTTGAACTTGAAGCAAAGATTGATTTGTGTGAGGTGAAATTACACTTGAATGATGTTAGTTTATCATGTTGTGGGGTAATTTTAAATGTTTTTGAGTGATTAGAGTTGAAACCTAGCTTAGAAAGTGGAAAAAAACAAGTGTTAGAGCTTTCAGCAGCAGATTTTGCCTAGAGTTACACGTGCGGCGGGGCTTCTCGCATGTGCGGTAGTCCATTTCCAGCGCCAAAAAATGATTCTAAAATAAAAGCACCTTGTCCCGCATGTGTGGCTCAATTCCCGCACGTGTAGCCCTATTTCCCGCAGGTGCGGGGCACCCCGGTTCCAACTCAACTTCGGATAAGCATATCTTTTTCATTCGGACTCCATTATAAGTGATTCTTGAGCCTAAATTCAAGCCCCGGAAGTCTAGTTTCCAATGGTGGTAGTCTCACACCTAAATGCTAAGTACACAAATAGATATGCTCAAATTAGTGAAGATTGTTCACTTTCTCTCTACCGATTTTATACCATTTCTTCTTCTAACCCGGTTTCCTTTCATTTCCTCCTATTTTTCTAGACACGGATTATGACCTACTGAGGACCAATGAGTTTAGAACTAACATAACTAACTGATTAAAGAGTAAAGAAAGGGATTGATTTTATTCATATGTTGTGTTATGTAATTGTGATTGTAGGTCAAGACTAGGACATCGTCCAACTACTACCAAAAGCCTATCACTGTGAGTAATAATAGTATAGTAAAGATATGTTTTTCATTATCTATCTTGATTTATGCATGACATGATTCTCTAAATGTTACATTTTATCTAAATGCACAGGTTTGCAAGAAATGTGAAATAAGTTATGAACAAGAAATGTAAATTATTTATAATATGATATGGTGGGCCCAAGGCCGTCCTGTTTATCTGTTCCGCTTATGCTATGGCATGATATGAATTGTTCGGTCTTTAAAACCTAATCATTTTGGTATGGAACAAAGTGTTTGTATGGAACTAAGTGCTACAGTGTGAGTCATCTCTAGAGTCCGTACGAGTCACCTCTTGAGTCCATACATACATGAATTGGGCCCAATGAGAGGTGGAGACATGTCGATGTTCCATCTACTCCATGATTAGATACGATATGCTACGTTTGGACCTAAGGTCGTTTTGATATATGATTGGACCCAATGCCATTTTGTTATACATGGACCCGAGGTCCTTCAAAACATATGATATGAATACAAATGTTTTACATCGCTATATGACTCATGTTACGATGTGTTATTTTATATGCATGAATGGATGCCCTATTTTGAAATGTGCTTCTAACCTTTTGTATAAGTGAGCGTACCACGCACAACATAAAATATTTTGTAATAGTTTCAAGCATGTATTCCATTTGAAAAGACATGGATTATGATACGTAAATGTTTCTTTTGAAATAATGTAGGATACGTTTCCGCATTGTGAAATATGTTTTTCTAATGTTAAGGACATCATTCATTAACCTCCTTACTTTAATATTATTCACTGGGCATTAGCTCACACTTTTATTTTATATATATGTAGGTGAGCCATTGGGGACTAACACTAGAGTTGTATCGAGGTCCACCTCTTCGTCAAGCCGCCCGGGTTATGCCTCCGTGTCGAGGCTTTAACTTTGTATTGGAGAATTATGTATTTTGTTGAATCTTATGTATTTGTGTGTGAGATCTATGTAAGTTCTGTGATTATATATGTAAATATGGAAAGTATATTTAAATACTTAAATTTAGGAATGGCAACGGGCGGGGCGGGGCCGGGGACCACACTCCCCATCCCCATCCCCGATCCCCGATGGTAAAAGTTTTCCCGTCCCCGGCCCCGATCCCCAACGGGGAACCTATCACCATCCCCATCCCCGTCCCCAACGGGGATCGAGTTTCCCCAACCCCGAAAATTCCCCGGTCCAAATCTGTTCAACAACATCATCAACAACCACCCTAGTCCAAATCTATTAACAACATCATCAACAACAACTTTGAACATCAACATTATCTACAAAATCATACACACAAAGAGGGACACACACATATATGTAACGCCCTCAAAAAAATAATAACATTAAACCCACCAATCAAGAGAGACAGTGCGGTTTTTTGAGTATTAAACCAAATCCCACCTTTCTTGATTATTTCATTTAGGCGTCGCATTACATTTAAGTTATTTACCCCCATTGGTTAACATCTTTCATTTAACAAAAAATGGGCCCCTTTTACGGGGGCTTACCAGCTTTCCAAGTTTAAACCCACTTTGGTACAACAAAAGAAAGTTACTTAACAAACTTCGATTACACATTAAAGCCCTTGGCTTTTTGAAGTGTAAACAAGTAATACATTCAAAAAGTAAAACAACCAAAAACCCATGTCCGCTCTAGCCTTCCCAGCTAGTGTCCTTGGAGGGTGGGCATTGCTTTTCCTGCAAACCTGAAAATGATCAATTTCCCATATAGGGTGAAAAGCACACAGGCCCTAGTAGAAATACACTAACCAACCCATTGAAAGCAAGACTTAAAAGAACATTAGGGCCATTGGAATAGTTTGGTTTGCAACATGATTACAATCACATTAAGATTTTACATAATTTATTGTCGAAACGAACTTTACAAAGTTCCCATTTACCTTTTTCATTTTCCCTTTGTTCAACAGATAAGGGCATGCTTAGCGTCTGTATCCTTCATTTTCCCACAGATAGGTGTATAAAACTATATTTTCTCGAACATTCAGATAAAAGCATTTAAAAAAGCTATAATCCCACATTTGCTTTCAAACAGATTGATGTATTATTGCAAACAATAATCCACAGATTTAAAGCATAACCAGGCTGTTTCCCACAACCTGTCACAGAGAGATAAAGCATATTGAGGGGCTCGTTATCTTCCCCACTTTTTCTCGTAGACCAACGCATTATTTTGAGCTCTTTTGTTTCTACGGGGAGTCTTTCAATCCCCCTATTTTTTTTCCTCCTGCCAATTTATCTATCCGGTTTAGGGTACATCCCCTTATGCTTCCCCATAAACCGACGGAGTACATTTTCCCCCTATTTTTCTCCTCCTCTTACACCACAACGTTATATTAAAACACCTTGGTTTTGCTATTTATACAATTCAAACGAACCAGAAATACCCATAAACAAATTTAAATGTAGTCAATTAAAACCCGGTTCAAGGTTTCCCCATTGACACAATTTTCAGTTGATGTTAGGTTCTCAGGTTAACTTAATTCATCAAAGGCCATTTGTCTTTACAAAACAAAATCAACGGGCTTCGTCCCACCGAATTAGCCGAAAGCAGGTTCATTTTCTAAAACAGGAAAGTAAAAATGCACCAAGATGGATATCAGATCAACATTTTTTTCATTGTTCCTTTTCATTTTCTCACCAATTTAATTTTATTTTTTCCCAATTAGATTAAACAATGTAAAGTTAGGCCATTTTCTTTCATTTAATTTTTACCTGTTCCAACGCCTTAGGTTCCCGGATTTTCAATTTCAAATTTTCGCATTTGTCTTCCATGCCAAAACAGTTGCATCTAGGGTTTATGATGGAGATAAAAACCCCAACTGTTTTCATAAAAATTAACCCAAAACCAAGGCCCAACATCTCAAAAAGGAATTTACCAAAAAATTTTAAAGACAAAAACATTATGAGAGGGGAGGTAAGGTTATTCCCCCTTGACCTTTTCAAACCCCCCGGGAAGGCCTCAAAAGGGAGATGAAGATCAAGAAACCCAAAAATTGCTCCCCAAACTCGAAAATTTTTCTCGAATTAAAGGGAAAGCCGCCTCGACGATCAACAACTTTTTTGTTGAAAGGCCAAAGATTTGAAAGCAAAATCAACTCCTACTAGATCAAAAAAACCTAAAAGGAGAGAGTAGGGTTTCTAGAGAGTGAGAGGCTCCAAAACAATGGTTGAAATTTTTAGAAAAGTAAAAGAGAGAGGAGAGAAGGAAAGCAAAAAAGTGATGTGAAAAAAGTCCAACAGATTTCGGGACTTTTAAACCCAGTTCTCCGCCTCGAGCGTAAAAAAACAACCCCGCTCGGAAGCGGCCCCACTCAGCAGACTTTGACGCTCGAGGCCGGGGCCAAAACCTTTTTTTCCCGCTCGAGCGCCAGAATGCACTACGCTTCAGCACATTTTGCCAGAAAAACCAGGGAAGCCTCCCGCTCGAGCTTCGCCAAAACCCTACTGGGCATCGAGCGTACGAACCACTGCACAAAACAAAATACTGATGGGTTTATTCACGCTTCGAGCGGCCAAACAATCTAGCGTCGAGCGGAACCAGGGCCAAAAATCTGGGGCAACTAGTTGTTTGGTTCTAAATCAACCAACCTGAAACCCAAACCTTGGCCCAAACAACATCCCGAATAACTCAATATTACTAAGTAAAAAAGGATGTAGGAACAAGATAATAAAAACAAAACTGACCAACATCCTGACGGGACAGCATGTCCGGACTTTTCACTGTACAACAAGGTTAAAAACCCGGATCGCTATTAACCTTTCCCCCCCTGTTAAAGAATTCGTTCCCCGGAATTAAAAAGAGCACAAGTTTTCAAAAAACAAGTTTTTCCTCCAATTTTTTAAAACCAATGTTTTTAACATCTTTTACATTCAACAAATTTCGGGAAACCCATTACCCGTCATTCCCATCCCTTAAACAAGAACAAGTGATCACAAATGTAAAAACAACAAAATGTACTTATTCAAACATGCATTAACATTATGCCCACTAACCTGTCCAATGTTCAACCAATTATATTCAGAACATATAATGGTTACATATCAACTGGTTCCATATGAGGCAATGTCCAAAAACATTGTACTTCCAATAATTCAAAAACATCTTTTCAATGTTTCAACCAACTTAAAGACCATATTTAAAAGCTCTTAAGGTTCAAAACAAATGCCATTAAGTTAAATTATTCTCTCTTCTTTTTT